TATAAAGAGTGTCCTAAAATTATTGTACAAGCTAGAAATGATTCTCAGATCATTTGAAGCAACTTTTTCCTTTAGAAAAATGTTCTCCGAGGCACCGTTAACGAGTTATTAACGAAAAACAGTGACCAATGAGAGGCGAGCTCGGCTGGCGCGAGGCGATCGAGCCAATGAGCGGAACTGGGCTTCGCGCGCTGGTTGGCTGGGCCGCCTCGCGTCGGCCGTACTCGATTCTTATTGGTCACTGTTTTTCGTTAATAACTCGTTAACGGTGCCTCGGAGAACATTTTTGTAAAGGAAGAAGTTGCTTCAAATGATCCGAGGAACCCGCCATTTCCGGATTGCGAGACATTTTTGGGACACCCTGTAGACTGTTGTGAATCGATGCGAAGACAAAAGAAGTGTGAAACAATGCATACGAAGACGATTATTTGGTTCGAACGATGAGCGAGTGAGCTACTAGAGCAAGCCACTATAGTGGCGCGTCGTGCCTAAAATGTTAACAACCTTCCGATAAATGAAGTGCTAATGACCCTGGGCCGAAATTCGCGTCGGTTACCTGTACTCATCATCGAAACGTTAGAAAAGTTTTTCCTGGAGAACTTGCTGTTATCTTGTTTCCCGTGAATCTTGAACGGTCAACGACGTGCGTACTTACCCGCCCTTTCGCCCATCGGCGTGCACGAAAATCGAGCGGTACGGCGTGACACGTACCTCGAGCTTCTGCGCCTGGAGCGCTATCCGTTGGCGATTATGCGCGCTAACCGAGTTCCCGTATGACCTTCGCCGCATTAGCCACTCTCTCTGGAACAACAAACAATCCCTGAACCCAGCAACGCTCCGTCGAAACTTCCGCAGACTAAACACGCCGACGGTTACGCGCGGCTAGTGCCGCCGGCTTTATTTACTTTTTACGTAAGCCATACGATGCCCATACTCCGCCCCCGCATCGGCTGGCACACCCCCAAAACACCCTGCATTCGTTTCCGGTGTCGGAGGGTAGCGACGCACTATGGGAGAAAAATCACCCAAAAGCAGCGAAAAGTATTTTTTTCATTGAGATCACACATACAGGATGCGTCACTAACTCTGTTACAATGCTGTATTTCCGTTATCGTTGTAGTTGTTTCTTTATTTGTCGCAAATTCTAAATGTTATAAGATCTAGGTTTAAAATTCATCACTGTTGATCTTCCAAAAATTGCTAAAATCTTTCAAAAAATCCTAAACATTTTATGATTTTGCACAATTAACACACAGGATTTGCACAATTAACACACACGGCTAGTACACTTATTCCCATCTGTGATTAGTTAAGTTAAAAAATCAACGGCTCTGTAAATAACTTTATATATCAATAATTCTGAGGTGGACGTCTTTGAAATGGTGCAACCGTGTTCGTTAATAATAAAAATTAGAAAAAATTCTACCACGTTTCGACCGAAATGTTCGGTGAAATTATATTAATGTTCGGTTGTTCTATAATTTTTTTATGTCATTTTGAGGGCACTCGCGAAACGGGACTTTTCATCGTTTTTTTGGGTGTCTCTCGCCTCATAGTGCGACGCGGTTACACGCTCTGTTCCGACACGTTCGATCGTATACGTATTACGTATGACGAAAAGTTGAAACCCCACAAAAGCATGGAAACTCGTGATAAAGTTCGGACTCTTTACGCGAATTCAAACAAGTACGAACTTTCGAGCTTCCGCGGATTGAAGCAGCCGAGTCTCGGCCGCGTACTCGGTCCTTCGAACTACGGGGAAAGGAGACTGTCGATAGCTCACTTTCAAGCCTCCGAGGCTCGAAAGTTCGATGCGTTCGAACGTCTCGAAGCGTAAGAGCTTGAACTTTTCCTCCGCAATCGAACGCGCTCGAGTCCGCCCGCTCCCGAACCCGTCGCTAATCGCTAACAATCGCGCGAGTATTCGCCTTTATATGAACCCCTGTTCGGGTCAGCGATCAACAATTTTTTGATGGATAAGACTACTACCCCTAGCAGAAAATTATTAGGACGTCAAGTGGGTTTTTTCTCAGATTTGTTTGGTTAAATTTGTGAAATTCGAGAATCGGCTTGTAAAAGGAATGACATGAAAAAAGAATAAAGGAACGTTTACGTTTTAATTTTGATTACTAATCTAATTTTTGTCAATAAAGGCTACTCGTTCTGCATTCCAATTGAATCATTTTTTAGATTATATTCACCTTTCAACGTTCTTACTTCTCGCGACTCTTAATCAAATTCTAAAATTATAATGCATCAGCGTAAATATATATTCTAAATAATTTGTCATCACGCACGTGTAGATGACGCGGCAGTCGAAACGATAACATTGCAATTCCGATAGACTTTTTAAATAATGGAATTATGGCATACTATTACATTAATAATATAAATAGGATAGATTTTGTTAATAATAACGATTCTGACAGATTTTTTGAGAAAACTGCGCTGAATCAATTTTGACAACTGAAATTTTCGCGAAGTCAAGTGCACGCGACAACGGCCGTCAGAGTGTTAAAATTGAAGTCTGTTGGTTCGGTGAGTTCCTCGTGAGCGCAGCGTTTGACAGTGGCATCACTTGTAGCCCCTCGATGTCCCCCATCGTACGTAGGAAGAGAACGAACACGCGTTGTTCGTCCTGTTAAAAGTGTAGTAAGATAGATCGATCGAGCTACACCGAAAATCGTGGAGTGCACGGACTCCACCCCGGCTGAATCCGGCACAAAGTAGATTATGCAAATGCTCCCCGAAAGAGGACGACGTGGAGCACGCGGGAGAAAAGGAGAAACTTGGCCGGGGACAGAGGCGAAGGGCGCGAGCAAAGATATGGAATGAAAGAACAAAAGGACGCGGAGGAACGAGGAAATCGTATTCGGTGGAAGAAGTCGAGCACTCGATGCGTCGCGCGAGGCCTTGAAATCCTCCCAACCCTTTTCAAATCTTTCAACCCTTTGCGGATGGAACGGTTCAAGGCTAAACGATGAGTGGAGCCAGGCTTGCGGAGACAAGTACGCATTCATCAAACCCATCACGAGTCTTTCATCATTTTCCTGTCTATCGGCAGAGAAAACTAAGGCTCGAGCAAACAATACGATAAAAATGATTTAACCTTGTTGGTCGAAGAAGGCTCGCGTTACTTTTTTGGCCACCTACAACGATGATCCAATCGAAGTTTTCTTAAAAATTGAATTGTGTGGAAGAAACATTTTTTTGGTGGACGTTTTTAATTATTCTGTTATATTGTTGGCGCATTCTTTTACTGCGATCAACCATTAAAACGCGTAAAGGAAATTTCCAGATTTCTGTGATTTTGGCAATCTTCACTTGTTTATAACTCCTAACAACGTCAAGTTGTTATTGTTTTAGTATCAGGTGACAAAAAAATTAAAAAGCACAATTTTTTGTTTTTTCATTCCAACCAATTGCAAGTTTTGGAGAATGAAAAATTAATTATCATTCTGTTTCCATTATGGAAATCGGCTCAAAAACATCTAATGAGAAGTGACATCGTCGAGTCAGAAATAACAAAAAGTTTATTCAGAATATACAAACAGTGTTTTCAGATGCAAACGGTGACTTTACAGAAATCTATAAAACAAGAATTAGGAATATAATTATAGAAAGTGATCGACAGTGTCTCCCAACAGCATTCAACGGAGAGACATTATAACGAGCCCGGGATGCGTTAAAAGAATGTGAAATACAGTGTTAAGAGTTCGATAAATCGGCGAACAGGATTGGGTAGCCGTACCGATCTTTTCGTCGTCTTTCATTGGCCCCCTGCCTATTTCGGTCCCGTTCTCTGCTCGGTTTTCTTCGTTTCAACCCTCCACGCATCGTGTCACTCCACCGCGAAACCGCACCGTTAATGCACGTCCGTATAGTTAACATCATAGCGGGTTAAACCGCGGGCAATATTAATGCAACCTCTCAAGAGTCAGTGTAATTATGGGCATTATGGTATACCTCTGTTGCCCCCGCCTCCAATCCACACCCAACCCCGTCCTCCGGCCCCGGTGTTTCATTTAAACTGTCCGCGACGGCGCGTCCACCGGGAACAAATTTATTCCCGTATATCGGTGTACTTATCTACGCTCGTACCGAGTTACTCGGTAATCCTGGATAATAGCGAGAGAATGTACGACAAATGTGCGGCTATAAGAAACGGACACGGATAAAGTCCGCATTTTTCTCTCGGATACGAGTTACGGATCTGCCCAACCTGCGCCGCGGCCGTACGTGCACCTTATCCAACGCTCGTTTACCTTCCTGAAACGTGATCTTTCGGTGGTTGGAAATGTTCATTGTAATTACAGGCCACTTAAATTGTTTCTTTCGCTATCGCGGTGTGCGTTATCGCTGCAATTATCGTGCGATTTTACGCACGCTTCTCGATCGAATATTTCGATTAACCCCTTAAGGGATCAGCCTCGAGGATGATTTTTGGCAAATTTCTTTAGAACGAAAAACATTGATGAAACTTTTTGTCACTTTCCCTATATATTCTTTGATATTTCAAGGTACATAAAAACTTTTCGTTCGTTTCATTTTATGGTTGTTTATCGAAATGAAATAATTTTTTATTGTATTTCTCTTTGTCGCAGTCGAGACAGACAATTTTTATTTTGCATAAAGATTCGCGGTCTAATGATTATACTATATTTTATATTATATTATTATATATATATTATATATTATATATTATATATTATATATTATATATTATATATTATATATTATATATATATATATATATATATATATATATATATATTATATTATTATATTTGTTGTATACTACCCGCAGAGAGTCGAAGAATTTTTCTAAGCGTCGACTCGCACGTGCTCCAATTAAATTCCTAGGAGTAACGTACGAGTAAACAACGCCGTAAGAATAAATACAATTCTTGGCAATCGCTTGAACAGCTTTTATAAATTTAAGTAGAAGAGATCCCTACGTGCTTCGGAGAACATGAGAGGACACGAGAATCACCGCCGCTTCCGGAGACGATTAAAGAGTAGGCGTGTCCAGGTGGACAAAGTTAACCGGAGAAGCTTTTAACATTTTAGTTTCAAATCGGTCCGCAATCAGGTCAACGACGTTTCCTGTTTTCTCTTTCTCTCTCTCTCTCTCTCTCTCTCTCTCTCTCTCTCTCTCTCTCTCTCTCTTTCTCTCTCTCTCTCTCTTGGAATACGATAACGTGCGTAGGGTAAATCGGGGGTGATATTAACACGTTTAGTAGGTTAACTTCAGTACTATAAACTACAGTATTATAGCTTTTAGTATACAAGGTGTCCCGTAATTATGATAACACCCAGAAGGGGGTGATTCCTGAAGTCTTTTGAAGTAACTTTTTTCTTAAGGAAAATGCAATCCGCGGCTTTTTTTGTTCACGAGTTATTATATATATATAAAAGTTACTCTTCAAAAGACTTCAGGAATCACCCCCTTCTGGGGTGAATGACGTCCTGCGCACGAGTATGCCAAGAAATCGTGTTTACTACTGGATTCCGTCTCGGAAAAAAATGTCGAGACCACCCTACCGGTTACTGGGTATTTAGTTCAAAGGCTTCTGGAATTTACTGTGTTTGCGAGTATGACGGCGACAACTATTTTCTCGACGTAGCAACCTCTCCGCCGGCGCGCCGGCTAGAATGCTGTCCGGGAAGAGCGACATTTCATCCGACTCCATGAAAACAATTTGCCGAAATCACGACTCTATCGTGCTCGATGACGCATTCCTCGGAGCAGTATACCAGCCGCGGATGGGCGGCGAGGAGTGTGTGGATCGACTCTTGAAAATAACTTGAAAATAATACAAAATCGCAATATTTCACTTTGGAAAAAATAGCTCAGTTTCGAAGCTAAACCAGCCACGAATGCAAAGGATCGATATTATCGATGCTTTCGTTTCTTCCATTTCTGGCCTATCTATCTCGGCGACTTAAATACCATAAAAAGTGGTATATTCGAAAAACATGGAAACGTCGAAACACAGTTTTAATTTATCGCGATGCAAAGGACGCGGAGCAGCAAAATGGTTCTTTGGAAAGTGAACGATCGGAAAATTGTCCAGGTGGCATCGCGCAATAGTAAGTAAGAAATGATAAGGTAGCTGCGAGGGAACGGCTGCATGTTTATTAGATTGAAGTTCGGGAGGCGGCGACAAGCCAACTCGCTTTAGGTCTTCCGTGAAATTGTAAACTGTGATGGATCGACGGAAGCGAAGTTTCTTCTACTTCGCTTTCTCAGCGCCCGGGCAGAGCAACTTCCGGTGGGACAAGGAAACAAGATTGCGAGATGTCTCTGTTCGAACTTCTGGTAACTCGACTTTAAACCGAATAGTCGCGCGCGCTCGCCCCGAATCATCAAAAACGCAATGCATGTCTTATGCATACTAAAGCACATGTCGATTCTCCGCCGTCGATACGAAACTACTAAAATTGCTGCGCCAAACGGTGGCAAACTCTTCGCGCTGTAAAAGGCAACGTCGTTTATTATACACGATGTTCCTCTTAACTTGTGCACGTTAAATGCGTTTTTCCGCGTATTTGATATTACGCGGTTCCCTACGATTTTTTAAGATGATAGGGACAATAAGCTGCGTTTCCTTTCTTTTCCTTTAACTTGTAATATATTTGAATATCAAACTTAACACCGATTCAGAGTAGATTTTCTAGCGAATGGACTATCTTGTGTTCGGGTCGATGGTAGACTGATTGTTGTGTGTTACGTGTTCTCGGAGGTAAACTCGGTGGGGGTGTGTTCTAAAATTGAGATAGTCGGATTCGTGGATTATTCGATTCTTGCGAGGAGCGAGGGAAACGGTCGTCCTGACTGATTGGTTTGCAAAATTATGAAAGCGACCGCCCCAAACTAAGGGTCACCCTCGGGTAGTGCTCGCACCCTCGGGTGACGCACACGAAGAATCCGAGTGTCCCAAGAATTGGTCGTAGCAAACGATAGTCCGGAAAATGCCTTTTCTCGGTGGAACATGCATACCATAAAAAAAACAACTGGGAAATGACATTCGGTGACCAACCGTGGATCATAAAGGAAATACTCGAGTAGAAAACGGAAACGGCTTTTAACGAAATTGCTTACTACGGGAATTTCGGTTGTTTTGTCCAAGTGTAATTTATAAGGATTCCGTCATACAACGGAACAATCTGAATGCAACAGATTCGTACAACCTCTGTCCTGCCCCCATATCTAAAATCTAATCCCAGCTAATCCGTTAAATATAGATACCCGGATACCAGGAATCCCGAGCAAACGGAAGAAAAAAGAAGAAGGTGCAATCCCACCTTCGCTTGCATTTCCACTTTATCGGGCCCAAGAGATCGATCCAGGTTCGGTATCGGCAAGGTCTGGTACTCCTCGATGGTGTACGGTTTGTAGCCGAGGCTCTTCGATTTATTGCTGATCGGATCCGCTTTGCTCGTTGCCTGGCTGCGGCAGCGGTTCGTGTCTTCTGACACGTGTTGATGTAAGGTTCCGGAGGATCGAGCGGTTGCGACCGTGCAATCGGAGAATCCCTCGATTAGACGCCGGTAAAAACTCAGCTCGCTGCGATCGTCCCTCGAGGTGCTCGGTAAACACGTATCCTCGTCAGTGAGCTGCTCTTGCTGGCTGTCTCCAAAAACCGACAGGGTGGAACCCTCCGGGGACCGGGCATTGTACCGCGGTTCACCTGCGAGCAACGAGAGAGACAGAAGATGCAACGTTTCCGCGGCGTTTTTCCGCGCGGATCCCGAATACCGAATCCCTTTCAAATTAGTTTCCACGATCGCACGCTGCCGAGGGACTTTGCCTAGAGATCGTATGATTGGTTCCGCGGGAAACCGACACGTAGGGACCCGGTATCGAGTTAACCTTCGCGAAACGTTTCGTGAATCCTTAACTAACGAACCGAGCTTCCCCGAAAGCTCCATGGGAAATTTTAACGCGTTGATTGCCACGCTGCTTCCAATATGCCGGTCACGCGAGTCTTTGTGTACATCTTTAACGCTTGCAGCGACGGCGTCAACCATACGCGAGTTGTTCGCAGGTTGACACGATTTTTGGGTTCTTTTAGCCACTATGAAATTCTTGTAGAGCTTCGCTCCCTGAACGAGAATCCGGAAACCGAATTGCTCCATCACCCTCGGTTTTTTAAATAAACGAACTTTTGTAAAAACCCAAAATTTTCGACAAAAATTAGGTATTGCTGTATTGTTAGGTGAAGCTGTACAATATACTTAAATTTCATAAAAATCCAGGTAAAACATATTTCACACGATTACCAAATTATGTAAATTATTATTATAATTACCAAAATTATGCATTGTATAAGATCGTTGTTGTCCCATATAAAATACTGGAGCCGGTTACTATGGAATGGCCAATTGCTGTGCCTTCGAGTTGTTTGCAGGCATAATTAACTTTACGATTACGGAATAAGAGACATTAAATGTTTTTTTATAAGAAATAAATGAAATGAAAGAATAAATTGGTCACCCCACAGTAATCGGCTCGACTACCCTAGCGGAGTACAGCCAGTCCAGGCAGTAAAATCCCAACGGTATCGAAGCCTGCGAACTCGATAGCAATTTCCAAGCCCTCCTATCCTCTCGCGTGCAGCGTTTTAAAAATGATCGTCGTTGCGGAAGGAATTCCGAAGCAGCCGAAGCAGGCCGAAGAGACGCGGGTCGGTTTCAAATTACAGAAAGATTCAACGCGTCCAAATAACAATAAAGCAGAATAGCGCAGCGTCAGCAAACAAGCGAGCCAGGGTAGGAAGCAAACAAAAAGGGCTGTCCTATGGGGGTTGGCGTGCGTTTCGATCCCCTTGCTCCCCGCGCCGCCGTCATGTAGGGTATATATATATATCACCGGTGTGGAAACGACATCTAATCACGGCCAAAGTAAACGTCCTCGGAGAAAATTGCGTCGTTCCGGTACCGTTTCGAGCGTCTCCGCATAAACGCGACCCACGCCACCCTTTCTTGGAACTTCAACGCCGCGCGGCGCGTCGCGGCGCGGTCACCGACCAAGAAGAAAGAACGTCATCGCGTTTCGGACTAACTGAATCGTCGACGATAATGCTCCAAATAAGAGCGCGGCTTCCTCGCCTGCTGGATCCTCGGGACGAGCACGTTGCTCAGCTTCTTGTCCGGCTTCATAGACGTCGAAGCCTCTCCTGGCCAACTCTGCTTCGACAACGAAAGCTTCAAAGAAGGCCTCCGACAACCCGATGCCATCTTCTTGCAGAGGCCGCTTACTTCTTCTTCTTGTTTTAAGCTGCTTACACTCTGGAAGATGGAAGAGCGTCACTTTTCACCGATATTTGGTGTACTGGTCTGACATGCTCGGTCAATTTACGCGTTACGACGTAAGACGAACGTAAAAAAACGTTTGCAGGTAAGTAATATTAAGAAAGCTAATACATTTATCTAAATTGTTTCGTTTACGATCCAATCGCCACGATGCTTTTTACGTACAACGATTTGGAGGGATCGATTTGTATAAAAAGAATTTTACAGGTTTTGCGCTCCAAATTCATCCTTTTCCAAATCGAACTTTATCCCCTTGCAGGTCATACTTATTGTTTTCAAATGAAATATGCTCCTTTCCAAATCGAATTCATTCAGATTATTGTAAGAATCGAATGAAACCAATTGAACGGGGTGTAATTTAGTTTTCAACAATGTTAGTCTTCGGAATATCCAAGAACTGCATGAGTTTGTGGTTCAGGCAAGGCTTACTTGACTATTTTTACTACTAATGTATCTACAATAATGATCTTACATTGTTCCTCATCCGATCTGCAACATCCCGTTTCTTATTTTTCATGGCAGAACATCGTTGTAATTGTACTTGTTTCTCCGAGAATTTATTGTTCGCAATTATCGTATTCTTGCGAATTGTTCCTAAGTCTTCGGTAGTGTCTATTTCCGATGAGGTTTTATTAGATCCGGTATCTAGTTTTTAAGAAAAACTGAAATTAAGTAGCGATACCGGGTTAGAATGCCGATAAGCAAGTTCTTTTAGAAGCATTTTTAGGGTACTTCGTTTCAGATTCAGTTCATAGTCAGGGAATACGCACTGATTTCATCTTTGATAGATATGGATTTACTTCGTCCCATTTGATTTCAAACCTTATTTTACAACTGTATAGGGTATGAAAAAAATAGTTATGCCATGGCTATCATAGACGTATTCTATACCTGTAGATCGATGGAGATCTGCCCATATAGAATCAAATCAACTTTTCTAACTAAAATAGTAGAATTGTCTGTTTAATCCGCTAAATATTGATTCGTGTGCAAATATGAATACACTTAGCACTATAATTGTATTGCTTTATATTATATTATATATATATTATTATATATATTTATATATATTATATTGCTTTATATTAAATTATATTGCTATGCCAGAAATGACTAGTTCTAGGGAAAAGACAATGTCGCCATTCCAGAATTTTTAAGAATTGATAGCATCGTTAATTAAAATATGGTCTCAAAGTGCAAAGATTTAAAACGTGAAATCATAGTTGTAGGTTAATTGTAATTGATATTGTTAACTGTAACTAATAGAAGTAAAAGTTATGGTATCATGATCTTTTCTCGCTTGCCTTGCTTCCGAGACAAATAATTAGGTGTAGCAGTCGATTTCAAACGAAGCGGCGCATCCCGAGGTCCGTTGGTCGAGTGCATGATCGACACCAGGTTAAAACTGTCATTGTCATCGCGCGAAGAATCGTAGTTTCGAAGCGTGATTTCGTTCGTATCCTCCAGCGAGTCTATCGAATAGACTGACATTTTGCCGACGATTTTAATTTAGCACCAGCGACCATATGCAGCCAGCACGCGATCTCTGCAAATTCTATATCGTGAAGGTCCGTAGCAACACTATGCCAATAGGAATGGTAATTTCAACTCCTGTGTCATGAGACAGACTTCAAGGACCGTACTTCCAATGAGTTCATTAGGGAGTACAGATATTGTATAGTAATACGAATTTGTTACGAAACTGTTCGGAAAAGGACTTCTTGAAAATTCTAAAAACAAATTTTTAATCTTGGATGTTCCATTAATTTCCATTAATTTTCTTTTGTTGTACTCCACGTAAGCTTTGGCTGCAATATATTGCACATTAAATAATGTGATTTTGTATATTTTCTGTTAACATTTCAGTTTTTCTTCTTAATTGTGGATAAATGTATCAGACATATATTTTACATATATT